AGAGCCTTCCAAAATCTGACAGTCATTCACTCTTATTTTTCTCTGTTCCCATGCCAGAACTCTTCTCTCCAGAAATGTACTGCATGCCTTCCCACCTCCATGCTTTTCACCAAGCTGCCATCCATCCACTGGTGTCTTTTCTGGATATGTTTAAATCCTTTCTGTCTTTTGCAATCTCTTTCACAAAGCATTCTTAATTCTCTAACAGGAAGTAACCTCTTGCTCTTTATAGAATTGTATCTATGCTTTTCCAGGGTCATTTCTACCTTTATATTTTAGTTTCTTACATGTATGTTCTACCTCTCTCCTAGACTATAGGACTTGAAAGTAGATTCCATGTCTGATGAATGAACAAACAAAAGTAAGGCTAATGTATGCATGTAGTGAAACTGGACACAAAGATTATATTGATTTGCAAGATTTCATTAAGGTGGTCTTTAAATAGGTTTGCATCACATGTGTTAGGAATTAAATATCAATTGGTAATTTCTTCAACATTACCATTATCCTTATTGCTTATAGCACTGCCTAAGATGAGCAGCCATATCTTTAAATTGTGTTTTCATTGACTACATGCTCTACAAAACCCAAAGGGACTGGGAACAGTCCTGTATGCCTTTTTTCCGGTATGCCTGAACTAGCCATACTATTGTTTACTTTCCCTTCTTAGCTTTTGCCATGGAAACTTGGTCTAACACATCTAAATTTTTGCAAAACTTCCTTTTAGAGGAAGATTGTATTGTCTAATGTTTTATTGGATCTTAGAAGTCATGATTAATCAAGTATTACAAAGTATAAAACTGAAAGCAACAAAGGAACAAGACAAAGAAACAAAAACTCATAGACACAGATAATAGTTTAGTGATTACCAGAGGGTAAGGGGTGAAGGGGTGGTGAAAGAGGGAAAAAGGTGACAAATATATGGTGTTGGAAGGAGAACTGACTTGGTGGTGAGCACACAATGTGATATATAGATGATGTATTATAGAATTGTACACTTGAAACATATAATTTTAGTAACCAATGTCACCCCAATAAATTTAATAAATAAAAAAAGATATTGAAATATACTTAAAACATGCTGTCTTTAGAAACTTGGGCCCCAGAATGAACACAGCTGCAGTAAACTGTGTCCATATTATATGAACCCCTTTTTTGACTACCCTTTGTAGCATAGCCTCTTTCTTCCCTGCAGTTGAATATACTAAAGCTGGCAGCATGTCCTGATGGTCAAAAATTAAGACAAGAAGACAGATGACCTATTAGCTTTGCGGCACCTGACAGATTGCTTAACATCTCTGGACCTTGATTACTTCGTCTGTATAATAGGAATAATAATACCTGCCCTGTCTCCTTGTAACAACCAAATTAAATGATGCTTGTGACTGTTCTATAGTCTTTTAGACAAATGCAAGTTATTACTACAGCAGGAAAGCATGCTGTCATGAGTAGTCATCTGGCTGAATGTTTAAGACTTGTGAGTCATGTTTAAAACCAATCTTTATTCCTACTTTGTTGATTTCTTTTTTAGCCCTATATACTATATTTAATTTTTTGAGAATGGGACTAAAAAAAAACCACAAAAAAAACCCTTAGAGATGTGGTTAAGTTGATCATAATTGTACACTGTTGTAAGCCTTAGAGCAAAATAAGGCAGCACCAATGAATTTATTATGTATAAACAGATGTAGACTGATGATCTCCTTAGCAATATTATGCAGCATCTTTCTCTTTTGTGTAATAGACTCATCTGAAGGGCTAAAACATAAGAATTGTCATGGAAGCTCTTAAACTTTTATGATTTCCTCAAACAGTATATAAAATGATTGAAGAGGTTAACCAAGAGGGAAAGTTAAAAGATTGAAAATTCCAAATTTTACTACTATGATTATTACTGAGTGCTGTCCAACTCTTCTATTGATCTGTTAGAAACAGAGCTGCACAAGAAGTAGTAGGGGCCGTTAGTATGTTGTAGGGTTATGCTTTTTAATTATTTAAGTAAAGTTTTATTGTATTAGAGAAACTCAAGAGATTGCTCGTGGCTGATAATTGCCACCCTTCAAATTTCTTAGAGCTTATAATTTGGGTTTAGCACAGCCTGTACTTGATCTAATAGTGAGTTCGCTTTCCAAATGACATCATGAAATGATGTCAGTACTGTCTTTTCTCATGGTTTAATAAACTCACCAGTAAGTTTTCATGGAGTACTAGTACGTTATCCTGGGTTAAGTATTATGGGAGGTCAGACATGATCCATTCTCTCAGAAAGCTTATTCGACTAAGGACTGACCATAATTAGCCAATACAATAACAATTAACGCATGGGGAATGAGTACTAAAGGAGATGTAACGTGGAATTATCGAGAAGGAGCATAGTGTGTGTCGGAGTAATTAGAGAAGGTATGCATATATGATTTGGTGCTTGAACTGGGTCATGAAGGATAAGCAAGATCTAGTCTGATAGAGAGAAAGGAATTTGCCAGGAGAATGGAACGAGGCACTTGTAGGCAATTATGTAGATGGGATTCCAAGGACTTTGGCCTGATCAAAGCAGAGGTGATGAAGCATTGAGTAATATGGAAAGTTAGCTAAGTGTAGGGTGAGGCCAGATTTTGAAGACCAGATAAAAGTGTCTCCGTAAGAGAATGCTCAAATGAGAGTGGTTCGTTAGGCAGTGGTCATTAGAGTTGAATGGAACATCAGGATGTCAGGCATATCAGGGGGACTTTGTAGTCACCCAATGAGGTGGTGAGGACTGGGCTAAGAAAACGGCAGTGGGATGAAGAGAAAGAGATGGACAGGAGAAATGTTTTCAAGGCAAAATGAGCAAGACCTCTCCACTAACTGGATTTGAAGACTGTACAAGAAATGTCTCATCAAACTTGATTCCAAGATTTCTAACCTGTGGCCTGGGTGGTCCAAAGGATCAAGAAACCAATATCAGAAACAGAAAAGTTAGGAAGTAATACTGTTCCTACAATAAGCATTGAGTTTGTTGGATTCTCTTGACTTCAGGGCCTTGTCAGTGAGTAGGCAGTTAGCACTGTAGATGTGTCCCTCACAGGGCAGGGCTGGGGATGGGGTTCAGCTTTCTCAGCAGGTGATGAATTACTGAACCCATGCAGAAGCTCTGCTTTGAGGGGTGTGTGCCTGTGTTAGGCTTTAGGATAAAAGCCAAGTAATATTTACTCAGATGCCATTTGTCCCTCTGACATACTTGCTTGTGGAACTGATGAGAAAATGATGTATAGAGGACTAACTACTTTTCTAACCAAAAAGTCATTAATAAAAAGATTGAGACCAGTGAAAGGCAGAATAAACTTTTTTAAGTGAAGTAATAAAAAAGGTGCCATTAAAAGACGCATTACCATGGTAGTGATGATAAAAACAGTTTTTTAACTCTAGTTTAAAATGTCTTAGCACTTCAGGCCATTTTAAGCAGTTAGTATGGGCCCTTGGTAAATACTTGCTAAACATCTCTGAAATTGGGTTGTATCCGTTAATGTCATTTTATTGTTCTTGTTGGCTATGCAACAGCCACAATATAGTTGTCATTGCCCTAACCAATTTATGTTGCTTAGGTTTTTTTTACATATGTGCAAAAGTTACCATATTTTGCCATATATAATGCACACTTTTTTGCCCCAATTTGTGATGGGGAAAATAAGGGTTTCCATTATACCTGGGTAGTACTAATTCCATATCTATATAAATGTTTTCAATTCTTTTATTTATGCTTATGAGTTAAAAGTATAACTTTAAACTAAACAGAAATAGACTCAGAGATACAGAGAAAAAGCTGATGGTTGCTAGATAGGAGGGGGGTGGGAATGGCGGAGAAAGGGAAGGGATTAGAAAGTGCAAATTAGTAGTCATAGTCACAGGGATGTGAAATACAGTATGGGGAATATAAACAGTAATGTGGTAAAGATTATGTAGGGTGCCAGATGGGCACTGGACTTACCAAGGGGATCACCTCATGGACAGTGTAGATGCCTGACCACAGTGCTTTACACCAGAAGCTGAAGTAGAATAATACTGACTGACAACTATAATTAAATATACAGTAAAACCTTGGATTGTGAGTAACTTGGTTTGTGAGTGAGTGTTCTGCAAGACGAGCCAACATTTCTAACACATTATAACTTGGTAAACGAGCAATGTCTTGCAATAGAAGTAGTTTGTTTCCAGAACGAATTATGCTCGCAAACCAAGGTATTACTGATTTATATATATATATATATATATATATATATATATATATATATATATATATACATATACTCCATATCCACAAGATATAGAGTACAGCATAATGAAGATAGTCAAGGGAATTGTAACAGCTATATATGATGTCAGAGGGGTAGTAAATTGGGAGGCTGTTATCACTTTGTAAGGGATGTAAATGTCTATTACATTGTTTTGTACACCTGGAACTAATAAAAAAAAAGTATAACTCTAGAAATCAATAATGATAACTGTATGCAAAATAATACCCTGGAATACGATAGATAATCAGTTTTGTTGAACTTACAACACACTTGGAACATTGAAGAGTTCTTGGCCTTCTATGATGTATAAATATCATAAATTTCTTACTGGTACATAAAATTTCTTGTACCTTGTATCTGTTCTGGTGTTTTATAATTATTTGTTACATAAAATTTCTTGTACCATAATATGTTAAAAAAAGAAATGCTAAAACTCCTTTATAATACAATAAAACTAGTACCTAAATGTAAACAAATAAAAATTTGAATTACAAACTTAAAAAGAAAGATTTTTTTCCCTAAAGTTTGGGCCAAAAATGTGGGTGCACATTATACACAGCAAATTACTGTACATATCATAAATAAGTCTAAAAGAAATCTTTTCAGTAAGTATACAACAGTTCTAAGTAATCAAGTAAACAGCAGTTTAATTGGCTGCATTACTTTATTTCTTAGTGGTACGTAAAATGGTGTGTTTTATAATGATGGTATCTAAGATTTAATAAAATGTGGCATTAGAAGATAGCTGATCACAGCAAATCTCTACCAGTGTGATGTAGACGGCTGGAGTAAAATATTCTAAATTTGCATCCTTTCATCGACCTACTTTTGAGTTGTCTCTTGGGTTGTTTTAATTTGGACTGGGAACAGTAGGAGAACGGATTTTCTTTCAATGGTGTAAGTACTGCCTGCCAGGAATAGAAACCTCCTTGGAGGATCCATTTCTTTGATGGTGCAGACTCCAGAACTTTCACAAAAGTCCAGGTATTAGCACAATGGATATCTGTGTTTAATTCAAACCAGGGTGCCCGTCCTAATCTCAGACCATTTTGCACTACAAGCAGTTCTGAGCACACTTGTAGTGAGAATGAATCTACAAGGAAATTTGTTGGTGTTTGGAGATGATAATGAAGTCTCTCAGTGGTAGAAAATATTACCTCTTGTAAAAGTAAAGACCAGAAACATTTGACTCTTAATACCATAGCTTTCAGCCATTTCTGCACTATGACCTATTGACTGGAGGTAGGTTGCCTTCCCATTCAGGCACACTTCATGGGCAGAAAAATATTCCCTTTTCCTACTGACTGGCACAGTATATGCTCCAACTATGGCACGGGTGTGTCTCTCTGTAAGTCTATGCTCCAGAACTGAAAGTAGGAACAAAGTTAAGAGTTATTGGGGCTGGGAGGGGATCCTTCTCTTACTGCGAAGGGAAACGATGCTTCAGGTAAGTGGTTCTGAAGTCCTTCACCATCTGACGGTAACCTTGGGTTGGTCTATAGGTATGTTTTCATTTTGCTTGTTCATCCATTCTAATCGGCTTCCCAGAGCATGCTTGTAGATGCCGAGCCAAATTTAGAGTATAGCAACCCTCTGGCAAACAGGAAAAGATTAATTTTGTGGTGTGCTGTTAAGGGACTTCCCAGGAAACTTCAAAAGCACAGAAAGAAGTACTGGCTGCCTATTCCAAAACGTGCAAAATGCCACTCAGCTTTTTAAAGGTATGATAAACTCAGAGCTCACACACACATACACATAGGACACTATTTCCAATAAAAAGCTGAGCTGTCTTAGATGGGTCTGCCTGTGAGCCAGAAACGCCAAGGGGTGAGGGGCTCAGAGAGTGATGGAGATAAATGTGGATCCGCATATGGGAGGCATTTGAAATTGACTTCAGTGCCTTTTTAATGCTGACTTTTCCAGTTTTCTCTTAAGCAGACACATTGTTTTTATGATATCAGCCCCAGGCATAGACACATCATTAAAATCAATGTGTAGAAAATGATTTCTGTTTGGAAATAAGCAAAACATTTTCAGTTACGACCACCCAAGTGTACTAAAATATTAGAATTGGGATTGGGAGCCCCAAATTCTAATATAAACTTTCTTCATGACACAAAGTCCTCTATGGCCTTTGGTTTCCTTACCTGTAAATCAGGATGGCTCGATCTTCTGTGCTCTACTAAATTATCTCTATGGGAGAAAAAAAGTCAATGTGAAGCCTCCTTAGAGCTCCCTGACTTCTGTTTTACTGTGCTTTTCATGCCTAGCTATCACAGGCCCACTAAGACCTGCCAGGCCACTACTGCCCCTGTCACACATTCTTGCAATAGGAGCAGATTGCTAACTTGGAAAAAAAAAAAATTACTATTACACTTGTATTTGTTGCTTAGTAACAATTTCTGATTTTGTGTTTCTTCTGACAGCCTGAGCACAGATCATTAAAAATTTAACTTACAAAGCTGCTGAAGTGAGAGGAAGGAGGCGAACTTGAAGCCACAGTTTTTTCACTTGCTTAGATGCCATCTAATCTCGGGTGTATATGCTAAATCTCGGAGAAAACACTGCATGCCTCTGGTTTATATTAAACCACATACGGCACACTGCTGACATTAATGTGTGTCTGGTGCAGCTGGAGTTTATCACCAATACATAAAAAACCTTGACCCTGCAGAGTGGCTTGGAATTACAATCAGATGGGCTGCATTGTATCCCTGCAAAAAAAAAAAAAAAGCCCTAACCAGTTTTTGTTGTGTTTCTGCTTTCTCCCCCCAGTTCCACCAGGTGAGAAGAGTGATGACCATCCTTTTCCTTACTATGGTTATTTCATACTTCGGTTGCATGAAGGCTGCCCCCATGAAAGAAGCAAACATCCGAGGACAAGGCAGCTTGGCCTACCCAGGTGTGCGGACCCATGGGACTCTGGAGAGCGTGAATGGGCCCAAGGCAGGTCCAAGGGGCCTGACATCCTCATTGGCTGACACATTTGAACATGTGATAGAAGAGCTGTTGGACGAGGACCAGAAAGTTCGGCCCCATGAAGAAAACAATAAGGACGCAGACTTGTACACTTCCAGGGTGATGCTCAGTAGTCAAGTGCCTTTGGAGCCGCCTCTTCTCTTTCTGCTGGAGGAATACAAAAATTACCTGGATGCTGCAAACATGTCCATGAGGGTCCGGCGCCACTCCGACCCCGCCCGCCGTGGGGAGCTGAGCGTGTGCGACAGCATTAGTGAGTGGGTCACGGCCGCAGATAAAAAGACTGCAGTGGACATGTCGGGCGGGACGGTTACCGTCCTCGAAAAAGTCCCTGTATCGAAAGGCCAACTGAAGCAGTACTTCTACGAGACCAAGTGCAATCCCATGGGTTACACGAAGGAGGGCTGCAGGGGCATAGACAAGAGGCACTGGAACTCCCAGTGCCGAACTACCCAGTCGTACGTGCGGGCCCTCACCATGGATAGCAAAAAGAGAATTGGCTGGCGATTCATAAGGATAGACACTTCCTGTGTATGTACATTGACCATTAAAAGGGGAAGATAGTGGATTTATGTTGTATAGATTATATTGAGACAAAAATTATCTATTTGTATATATACATAACAGGGTAAATTATTCAGTTAAGAAAAAATAATTTTATGAACTGCATGTATAAATGAAGTTTATACAGTACAGTGGTTCTACAATCTATTTATTGGACATATCCATGACCAGAAGGGAAACAGTCATTTTTGCGCACAACTTTAAAAAGTCTGCATTACATTCCTTGATAATGTTGTGGTTTTTTGCCGTTGCCAAGAATTGAAAACATAAAAAAAGTTTAAAAAAATAATAATAAATTGCATGCTGCTTTAATTGTGAATTGATAATAAACTGTCCTCTTTCAGAAAACAGACAAAAAAAACAAAAAAAAACTAACAAAAATTTGAACCAAAACATTCCGTTTACATTTTAGACAGTAAGTATCTTCGTTCTTGTTAGTACTCTTATCTGTTTTATTGCTTTTAAACTTCTGATAGCGTTGGAATTAAAACAATGTCAAGGTGCTGTTGTCATCGCTTTACTGGCTTAGGGGATGGGGGATGGGAGGGGTATATTTTTGTTTGTTTTGTGTTTTTTTTTTTGTTTGTTTTGTTTGTTTTGTTTTTGTTTTTGTTTTATTTTTAGTTCTCACTGGGAGTAGGGATGGGGAAAGAATTTCTTCAATATATTTCCTGGTTGATAAAAGATTCATTTGTCTGTTGTAAATTTGTTTGCAATATCAATCAGATGACGAAAGTGAATAAATATTGAGGCAACTGAATGAAGTGCTCACTCCACGTCCCACGATGTACCTCCTCTAGGCTCTCACTCACCCTTTGGGCCTTGGTCAGGGAAAGCTTCTTTTGTTGGAAAGACCTACATTTACTTCGAGCACATTCTTTCCCCCCCTCCTCCTTTGGTCCTCTCTCTTTGTTTTGTTTTCTCTTAAGGAAGAAAAATCAGCTCCGCGCTTTGAAATATTTTACCACTGCTGTGAACTAGTGAACAAAGTTTGTCATATCGTGGCACATATAAGCATGGAGAACAGTGATTTCTTTCTTTTAGAAGAGAAGATGAACAACCAAAAAATAATTCAAAACTACAAGATTTTTTAAATTTTTATAAGGGGTAAACAATTTGGCTAAATCATTGTAAGGCTTGAAAGAAAAATCATGGTAAGACTTAAAAATGTCTTGCAAGCAAAAGGTGGTGTTCTGTATGGACCCAGAAATGCCTAGATCAGAACAGGGGTCCACACTGCCAGTGAAATGAGATTGAACAGCCATATGGAGGCTGTGTGGAGGTGACATATCATTTCCGGGCAGTGTCAGAGGAATTTCTGAGTGGCCATCCTGAGGTCTAGGTGGAGGTGGGGAATGGTACTTGAGACATTCCAAAAGGGAGGCCTCTGAAGGACCCTTCAGAGGTGGCTCTGGAATGACATGTGTCAAGTTCTTTGGACCTCACGCTTTAAGTGCCTACATTATCTAACTGTGCTAAGAGGTTCTTGCTGGGGGACCACGCTCAAGCTGACTAAACACCCTCTACCCCTAGATAATTTTGCATAAAGCTGGATTATCCTGGAGCAGGTTCTGAACCTAATTTGTGGCATTGTGATCATGAGATTGATGCAATGAGATAGAAGATGTTCGCTACCTGAATACTTCCGGCTTTGAAATTAGACTTGAGGAAACCAGGGTTTTGTCTTTTGAGAACTTTTGGTAAGGGGGAAGGGAGGGGAACAGAAAAAGGCCCCCAAACTCAGGTTAGATGATCAAGGCTACCAATAGAAAATCTTGTCCAGAGGCAAGATTTGGAACACCTGGGACACCAACGGCTTGACGGTGCCTTGCTCAGTGGAATAGGCCAGGGCAGAGCTGGCAAAGTTTTGCTCGCCAGTGAAGGTCATAGCAACCTTCTGCCCATCCTGTCTGTTCATGGAGAGAGTCACTGCCTTACCTCTACTATCTTGGGTTACAAGAAGTCAAGTTGGGAGCCCAGAATAGTAATCCTGGGAAAAATGGACCCCTGTGAAAATTAGTGCTAAGCCTATTCACTCATGAAGCCCACTGTCCAAATCTTAAAGTATCCCAGACCCGTTTCCTTAAGTATCAGAAAGCCTCAAGAAATTGCTGTATCTTAGTAGGGTGAGGGATAAGCAAAAGAGGATGTCTACCATCACCCAAGGAATGAGGACACTATCAGCAAATAATTTCTCTTTGTTCGGTCTTTCGTTTAGAATGAGTCTATCTTGAACAGTACCATCTGAATCTGTGTCATTAAAAGAAGGGGTTTATATAGCATAGGTTGGTTTTGTGCTGTTTGAAAAATATTGTCTTTGTAATTATTTTTCACATGTAATGAATACTTGGAATATCTGCTGTATGTTAACTTTTAAGCTTTGTTTTGAGGGGCAAAGTTATTATTATTATTTTTTAAATGTCCCCATCACAATCTCAAAGCCCTGTAAAGGCCAGATGTGCTCAGTGGTTGAGTAAGAGACACTCAGCAATTGTGTGGTCAGTGGCTCTCTTACCCAATAGGATGCATCGTAGTCACACGCTTGGTGGTTTATGTTGACCTAAGATTTATCTTGTTAAAATCTTTTTCTGTTGCTGTTCATTTTTGTTCTGTTTTGGTTTTTGTTTTGTTTTTTAAAGTCTTGCTGTGGTCTGTGTGGCAGAAGTGTTTCATGCATGGCAGCAGGCCTGTTGCTTTTTTATGGTGACTCCCGTTGAAAATGTCAGTAAATGTCTGTGGCCTTGTTCTCTCTATGGTAAAGATATTATTCACCATGTAAAACAAACAAAAAATATTTATTGTATTTTAGTATATTTATATAATTATGTTATTGAAAAAAAATTGGCATTAAAACTTAACCGCATCAGAAGCCTATTGTAAATACAAGTTCTATTTAAGTGTACTAATTAACATATAATATATGTTTTAAATATAGAATTTTTAATGTTTTTAAATATATTTTCAAAGTACATAAAATCTGGGGGTTCTGGGTTTTTTTCTCTTCACTGTAAAACAAACATGAAAACGTGTTTTATTATAAATACGTGTGTTCCTTGCTTTAAGACCAACCTGATTAGTTTTAATAGTTGCAAGCCCTCCAGAGAGGATGCTTATTTCAAAGCATGGGAGGCCAATCCTGCCATCTGAGCTTCCAAGAAGCTCTAGGATTGGACCTGTCTTCCACAGTGGAAGACGGGAGTGTCATTTTCTAGGACACTTGAAAATTTCCCCCTTTGAAGTGATATACTTTGATCAAGTACCAAACTGTGTATCCTAGCAACATCAGGATCCAGGGCTGGCTGGCTCTATTTGATTATAAAATAACTGTTAAAAAAAATCAAAGTAGGCTTACTTACGGATAATGAGAATAAATTGGCCCAAATTTAGAAAGTCAATGACTGAAAAAAGATATAGAAATTCAATATTTAGAGGTAGGTCATGTACCCTCGGTTCGGAGATGGTGCCATTTGCATTATGTATTTGTATCCATTGCACTGATTTAATTTCTGTGTGTGGAGCCACACAGATTTTATATCACAGTACCCACGATCTAACAGATTGCTAGGATTTCTAAAAAGATTTGCCTCTGTGATGGCTGCCAAGCCGCTGGTAATTTAGTTAAAGTGTTTAAAGTTATCACCAAATCTTAGGGAAATAAATGGAAGGATTCTAAATTAGAGAAAGAGCCATTAAGGAAAAAAAGCATCTGTTCCTACTCTTCCGACTCCCCATTTGAACACTGTCAACCCACCCCAGAACGTGGTGAACTATATCTATGCAATGTATCATTTCTATTTCAAACATACACACATGGTTTCCTCTTGTATTGTCTTATAAATAAGGATCAAGGAAGTCATAACAAACATTGACTTGTGTATATGGAAGAGCAGATCGAATGAGATGAATTCCTCGATTGTAATCTGTCCAGCAAATTTTCAAAGGACTCTAAACTCGAAGAGAAACCCTTGACTGCCAGTCAAGGATGAGCCCAGCCATGGAATTAGAACCGTGGTAAACTTCAGGCTTAACCAATTTTCATAGATGAGGAAGACTAAAATATTTTTGAAAAGGTTGAGTAAAAAGAAATGAGACTAGAATGTGACATTCAAATTATTCAAAGCTAAAGGAGTTTGGGAAATATAACAACATTTTCATTATAAGATGAGGTCAGAGAAACAAAACATGGAGGCATCTACTAAATTAACCATCTTGAAGTTAACAGGAAGAGCCAGCTTATACTGTCTTCATTGGGTAATCGTTAAGATGCCTGGAAATAACCCAGATCATTACTTTGGTGTTTTTTTTGTTTGTTTGTTTTTTGTTTTTTAAGCTGAGCCATCCTGCCACTGGTTGGCCGCTCAGCGGCTGCTCAGCTCGGGCCGGGAATCAAACCGCTGTTGCTCAGAGCTCAAACTCTTGAGCAAGCTCTTAACCAACTGAGCCACTCAGCTGGCCAGGTCATTACTTTGATCTATTGCTTTTCACCATATTGATAAGCCCCTGTGATCATTAGCAGTGTCTATGGAGTTTTCTTTCTATTAGCTGTACGAATTCTATCACTACTATCACAGTTCTGAGTGAGAATCGAAACTAAATCTCAGAGTGGATCAGCGTTAAGTGATCCCTTAATCATTTAAGTGGTTAGTAGGCAGGATAAGGTGCCAAATGCCTTATGAGCTGCAACCAGAGGCTTCAGGCCTCAGTTCAGCCAGCACCCAGCAGTATGAGGGCTTCAGCCTAAAATAAAACATGTCTTCTCCATATTCTCACATCAAGCCTGTTCTATAAGTCAGTTTAAGTAGAAATGGCTGCCTTTTGGTAAGCCACTGTTAAGTAAAGAATGTTAATAAATTGAGATAAGAAACCACGTGTATGTACATAAATGTAGGTAGATAAAGGATTTAGTTTAGAAAGAGTCAGTCATCTGTGGGTTTGATCCAACCTCAAAATCTTGAACAGTAAAATTAGCGATGGAAGCTGGGCCTGGTTTTTTTGTTGTTGTTTTTTTATTTTTAGCTGTAGATTGTTTTAACTTGTTTTAAAGGCTAGTTGGTTGGTTGGTTGGTTTGGGGGAAGGGAGAGTTGGGAATCTGACTCTTGTCCTGCTGAAGCTAATTGGTGGTTGGTTCTGTGAATCCCCATCTAAGAGCCAAAGTCAGTGACTAGAGGATTAATAGATGCAGCCACTCCCAATCAGCCAGTATTTACATACATTCTAATAAATGACCTACCTGCACCTTTATCCCAAGTCTTTTGAGCAATTTCATCCATTTCTTCAATTCTAGCTACCATTTAATAATTTTTTTATTAGTTTTAGGTGTACAAAACAATGCAATAGTTACACATTTAAATTTTTTGCAGAAAGAAAAGGCATCCTTCTTGTTTTTTGATGGGAGTAGAGGCAGCAAAGTGCCTGAGGAATACATTTAAATATTAGCAGAAAAATATTGCATCTTACCCATTATATTTCTCATTAAGAAAAAGAGCTGAGTATGTAGCAGTCCGAAGGATTTCCATAGGCCTTTACCTCAACCCCTCTAGTTACTTACT